GATGGTCCCGAACATGCAGGACGCCTGGGACAGGCTGACTCTACAGAATGCTGCCGCCACGTTAGGATATGCCCAGGCTGTCCTTGATGTCAGAGTGGCTAGGGCCCTATAGCTGCAAACATGGTCGACAAAGAAGCCAGATCAACTTCAATCTGCTACCCAACTCATTGCATTTGGACGCATGCTCGGCTGATTTCTGTCAGCTACCTGGTTTCACGACAGTGAGAGTGCGGACGACCGCACGATACTATGATGCATCGACAGCTGGCGTTTACCAAGACAACCGCACTGCGTGGAGTGTGAGCTGTCCGAAACCGAACGCGATCTGATTGCCAATCTCACCGACCAAATTTCGGCCTCGGGCTTCCAATGTGTCCCTGAGTTTGACACGGGACCTCCGCCAGGATTCGGCTATGAAGATGCTCAGTTCTGGTGTCGGGACCCTTCCTTGTCGCCAGCCAGAGCGCTTCAGCGGGAAAGTGTCGCAGAGGGCCTACTGCATGGCTGGGCGTTAGTTATTCCAGGTAGCCACGGTGGGGTGTCCGTGCGCATGTTCGGGCATGTGGGCAATCTCCTGCCCCCCCACCTCTCCTGCCGTCGAGCACTGTGGTGTGCTTGCTGTTGCGCCCAGCGCTGGCCCACACGCCCAGATCCTTGTAGATATTTCTGTCGCCCGCCACGCTGACGCGGAGTCGGCCGAGGAAGGCACACGGGAGGCCACCTCAGCAAGCAGCCCGGCGCCGACGTCAACCCGCTCGCGACGGCTCTCGCTGCGGGCCGCGGCCGTGGACGAGCCGCAGGGCCGTAGATGTCCACTAGACGCTTCCTGCATGCGGGAACTGTTACGACGCCGGCAAGGCTCTCTGGAGGGCCGCCCGTGCCCCCCCCCTTGCCCCACAGGGCTCCACAAAGCCAGAACGCGCGTGGAAGTTTGAAGGATGTTGAGCCTGCCTGCAGTGAGCGCAGGCCGACTCCCAATCGACGCGTCTCGCCAAGTTTTTTGCGCTTCGTCTGCCGAGCCCTACAGCTCTGGCCGACAGTGGCACCACGAACCGGAGGCAACGCCCTGGAAAAACCATAGATTTCGTTGAGCCCACCAGCTGGTGCAGCATCAGCTGGACCGTCCTGAGGAGAGAACCCCCGTCCGCCTCCAAGCCCGCTTCCTGTCGCTCCGTGCATCAGGCAAGCCAGGACGGTCAACAGAATGCACAAGGTAGGAGGACAGAAATCGATGTGTGCGGCTTGCTGGGTCTCGTGTCGCTCAGGGCGCACAAGAGAGAATCTCACGAACGAAGCCTGCCCAGGACGTTGCCAATCATACTGAGCTGAGCGCTGCCCTTAAAGGCAATGGGATACATTAATTTGGATATCTTGATGGATTTAGGCATCCTGCTTTCGTTTGATTTCGAGGAGGGTTGTATATCCTTCTTCTCCTGCTTGTGTGCCCGATGCTCCTTGGTGCAGAGCCTTTAGCGGCGGACACCAGCTGCAGCGGATTAGCCGTGACGAACTGCATCCACGTGCAGCATGTTGCGGATGGCCTCTGCGACGCCATCACCAGCATCGTCGTCATCGCTACCGTTGGGCAAACTAAGAGCAGCAGCCTGGAGTGTTACCAGATATGCGATACAAGATAATTCCGGCAGCGGAGCGACAAATACATGTTACTACAACCTCGGCGTTTCTCAATTGTATTGTCGGTCTCATTGTATTCCTGCCTCAATCCGAGCCTTGGATCGGCGATAGACTCCCGCCCGAGACACCGCGCTTCCCTGTGCAGCGCGGCTTGTCGGGCCACTGTCGGCGACGAGTGGGCGAGTGGGGGTGGATGCCTCCCATGTGAGCCTGTCCCCAACTTAGCTTCGGGGGTGGACAGAACCCCCTTTCGTAAAGCGTGGTTCAGTGAAAACGACCTCGGGCCCAAACCTGGCGGGCGCAAGCCTGGAAAATGACGGCCGCGGCGCCCCCTCGAGAACCGACAACGGACAATTCACTAATCTCAGGGGGACGTAAGACCTGGGTACAGGGGACTCGGAAATCCCCGACGAGGTCGTCAAAAAAATGACGAGGCCGAGCCTGCATTTTGACGAGGCCTCCCGCTGCAGACATCCCACGAAACTCCTCCTCGTCAAAATCCGAGGCGCGGTCGTCAAAAAACGATGGCAAACCCGAGTCCCGGCAAACCCGGGTCTTACGCTCCCCCGATAATCGTCGTGTCAGGGTAGGAGGTCTATCAGTCTCCAGCCTAGCTTTTGTCCCCGGCGTTCGGGCCCCCGCTCTCGGCCCTCTGGCGGCCGCCCGGGAGGAGCCAGGGCCCCCCCGGGACGCTCTCGGCGAGGCGCAGCCGCTCAAGAGCATCCCGAGGCTGAAGCGCCGCCGAGAACCCACGAAAGCAACCAAGAACACGCACCGCCGAACCTCGAGCCTACCCTTAGGCAGGGCGTATTCCCCCTACAGGGGGGACTCTGGGCGAAAAATTGTTTAAACAAAACCCCTCAAGCTGATCAGCAATTGTCAGAAATTGTCAAAACATCGTCCCCAGCCTATTGTTGGACTATTTTGGGATATCCCTCCTGTAGGAAGACAGGCCCGACTTAAGCCTACCCCCCCCGCGAGCCCACCCGTCGGTCTCGAAAGCAGTGGGCGGCGGCATGTTACAGGAATGCTGCGAGAGCAGACTAGGCTGCCGCCCGCCCCCGCTGGAGAGGAGGGAAGAGGGACAACCGTTCGACTCCTCCTCCTCCTCCTCATCCTCCTCCTCCTCCTCCTCCTCCTCCCCCACCCCCCGCGAGAGAGCAGACTGGGCTGCCGCCCGCCCCCCCTGGAGAGGAGGGAATAGGGACAACCGTTCGACTCTCCTCCTCCTCCTCCTCCTCGATCCTCCTCAGACCTCCTCCTCCTCCTCCCCCCCTCCTCCTCCTCTCCTCCTCCTCTCCGCCTCCTCCTCCTCCTCCTCCTCCTCCTCCTCCTCCTCCTCCTCCTCCTCCTCCGTCCTCCTCTTCCTCCTCTCCTCCTCCTCCTCTCTTCCTCCTCTCTCTCCTCCTCTCCTCCTCCTCCTCCTCCTCCTCCTCCTCATCATCATCATCAGCAGCATCATCATCACATCATCATCATCATCATCCATCAATCATCATCATCATCATCCATCATCATCATCATCAGCATCAGCACATCATCAATCATCATCATCATCATCATCATCATCATCATCATCATCATCATCATCATCATCATCATCATCATCATCAGCATCATCATCATCATCATCATCATCATCATCATCATCATCATCATCATCATCATCATCATCATCATCATCATCATCATCATCATCATCATCATCATCATCATCATCATCATCATCATCATCATCATCATCATCATCATCCTCATCCTCTTCCTCTTCCTCATCCTCTTCCTCCTCTTCCTCCTCCTCTTCCTCCTCCTCCTCCACCCCCACCCCCCGCGAGCCTACCCGTCGGTTCTGGAAGCAGTGGGCGGCGGCATGCTACAGGAAGGCTGCGAGAGCAGACTGGGCTGCCGCCCGCCCCCGCTGGAGGGGAGGGAAGAGGACACGACTACATACCAGACCACCCCAAACCAACCCGAAGACCCGAATTTGACCCGAATCCCACCAGCCCTCTGGGCATCGGGGGTTTAGAGCGTTTCCTCTTCCACCCCTCCTTCTTCCCCCTTCGGGGGGGGTTTAGCACTGTCCCCTATTAATAAACACCCCCTCCCCCAGGCCACTGGGGGCCAACCAGGGTCCATGACGACCCCCCCACACCATTCCTTGTAAAAACAATGCAAACCACACTCTGCCTCCAAATTCGGAACATGCGCAGCCAACCCGATGCGGCCCCCCCCACCATCCCTGTCAAAAACAACACATAGTAAGTACACTTGGCGGCGGCGGCTGCGGCGGCTGCGGCGGCGGCTGCGGCGGCGGCGGTGGCGGCTGCGGCGGCTGCGGCGGCGGCGGCGGCGGCGGCGGTGGCGGTGGCGGTGGCGGCAGCGGCTGCGGCGGCGGCGGCGGCTTGGCAGCGGGGGGCGGCGGCGGCGGCGGCGGCGGCGGCGGTGGCGGCAGCGGGCGGGCGGCGGCGGCGGGCTGCGGCGGCGGCGGGAGGCGGCGGCGGCGGGCACCGGCGGCGGCGGCGGCGGCGGCGGCGGCTGTTGGCCTCTTGGGGGCGGCACGGATTAAGATGACTCCAAGAAAGCCTGGGAGAGCCCAAGATAACCTCTAACATGGCTCAAGATATCCCAAGATGTCTCATGATGATGGTTTCCTCTGTGTGCTGCCCACTTCCCTGTTCGAGGCAATTCCTCTGGGCATCGTTCATGGATGGGCTGGTGGGGATTTTTTTTTACGGCCGCAGGCGAACGCGCCAGCGGCGGGCGAAGTAGGTCGGGCCGCGACCGGTTTAAATTACCGACGGCTAACGCGCGCGACTAGGCGGCCGCGGCGGCTGGTGGGGATTCGTGAAGCGTCAACAATTTCGGGTTGGGGGGGGGTTAGGAATCTATTTGTTTGTTCAATTCCCCGACCCCCCCCACTGGAAAAGGATGGCAAATTGATGGTTTCGGGTTGGGTTGGGGTGGTTTGGTGGGTGATGAGGACAACCGTTCGACTCTCAAAGTGAAAAATGGCCAAAAGAAGATTGGGCCTTGGGAGTCCAAGCGTGCCTACTGTCGACGACCGACGGCCCGCATCCTCCGTCTTCTCCTGTTCCTCCAGCTCCCATTCTTCGCGTCCTCCTACTGCTCCTTCCCCCCCCCGTCCTCCTCATACTCCTCCTCCTCCTCCTTCTCCTCCTCCTCCTCCGCGTCCTTCTCCTCCCCCTCCTGCTGCTCCCCCGCGCCCTCCGCCTCCTCCTCCTCCTCCTTTTCGTAGTCCTCCTCGTCGCCCTCGTCGTCGCCTCCAGGGTGGGCGGCACCCGCCCGTAGGCCTTCACAACATCTACCTCCCACAAAGCTGCCCATGGCACACCCCCGTGGCCCGCCTGCGGGGCCGCGGCCTGGCTGTCCAGCCGCGAGCCGAGGCGCCAGACCGCCTCCGCGCGCGCGCTGGGCGGGTGCAGGGGCGTCCTCCTCCAACACCTCGCCATCGTCCCCCCTCTTTCGCTTTCCTTCCCTCCTTCTCCTCCTCCTCCTCCTCCTCCTCCTCCTCCTTCTGATCATCCTCCTTCTATTACCCTCCTCCAATTTACCTCCTCCTCCTCCTCCTCATCCTTCTGATCCTCCTCCTCCTCAGCCTTCTGATCCTCTATTCCTCCTTCTCCTTCCGATCCTCCTCTTCCTATTATCCTCCCTCCTCATTCTCCACCTCCCCCATATCCTCTTCCCGTCGTTCGGCAAACACTGGCGGCGGGGGTGCTGTGTTCCCGTGGTGAGATAACAGGTCCCTGACTTGAGCAAGATGGCAACCACGAGGCAGGATGTCAGCACGCAACAACCATAAGCATGGCAACGAGAGAAGATAATCCGCCACCGTGCCCCTGTGGCACGACGTGGCGTGTCCCCAGGCCCCTCGCTCAAGCCCCGAGCCTCATCCCGAGGATTCTTTCAGCCTCAGTTCTCCATCTTGGGGTGTCGGCTTCTTTGAAGGACTCTGGCCCCAAATTGCCAGAACTGCTTGGGCGTGGCGAGTGTTGTCGCGCGACTGTCTCGGAGCCACGACATCCCCAATAAGAGCCAAGAGTGGGTCATCTCGAGCTTTCTCGGGCGGTCTGGATGCCATCTGGGGCCGTCTGGGCAAGCTCCAACGCAATCTTCGACCCTCTGGGACCGTCTGAAGCCATCTCGGAGAGGCCCTGGGGACCCGGTCCACCCATAGAGGTTAGGGGCACATGGTGTTGGCCCCTGGGACGCCTTCGCCACGGAAACGAGCGTTTCCATCGCAACTATGGATATATATTCCTCCTCCTCCTCCTCCTCCTCCTCCTTTTGCTCCTCTTCATCCTCCTCATGCTCATCCCTTCTCCGCTTCTTCGCTCGCACATCTTAGGGACGGAGAAGGAATGTCCTGGAGGAACGAAGTGTTCGACCCTTGGGGGTCCCTGTGAATCAACGTGCCACTCCGAGTCGTTCTGCTGACGTCCCTGGGGCTGGGGGATCGGGAAGCCTACGAGGCGGGCCCTCGCGAGATGCCTCGGAAGATCTCTTGGGAGGGCACTGTGAGGCATCTTGCAGGTCTGTTTTGACGGCCCTAGGCATCCCCTTGGATTGCCTATGTTGTTGTGAATCTCTGGGAGGCTCCTGGGGTCCACAACTGGGGGGCAAGACTCGAGATGGTGTCTCCTCGTGGTGCCTTCTTGGCTGCCTCGGGAGCCCGCTGGGGGACCCTCGGGCCAGTCTTGGGTTGTCTGGGGTCCGCTGGGAGGCGTCTGGGGCAATCTTGGGGCAACATTGAGGCTCTCGTGGACCGTCGTGACAAGTGAGCGGCTCGAAAACCGCATGCGATTGCGTATGTAAGGAACGTAAAAAGAATAAATGACGTGTCCCTCTCGGAGCCCTCTTGGGGGCCGTCAAGGAGCGAGGGCATCGAAAATGGTCTTGGAGCTCCCAGAAATGGAAAAGGTGAACACGCCCAAAATCGTGAACAATCAATGGAAATTAAACGGTGTTTGGCTTTCGGGGCTCTCTTGGGGTGTCTCTTGGAACCCGCATGGCGCGTCTTGAAATCGTTTCTGGACGTGTGGCAGCTTTCACGGAGCGCCCTGGGGCCGCTTCAAGTCACCTGGGGGCCATCAAGGGCGTCTGGGAAAGATTTGTAAAGGGCTCGGGGGGTCGAGGAGTAGGCCGAGGGGAGAGGAGGGGGCGGTTGAAGATGAGGAGGAGGAGGAGGAGAGGAGGAGGAGGAGGAGGAGGGAGGAGGAGGAGGAGGAGGAGAGAGGAAGGGGAGGAGGAGGAGGAGGGAGGGAGGAGGAGGAGGAGGAGGAGGAGGAGGAAGAGGAGGAGGAGGAGGAGGGGGGAGGAGGAGGAGGAGGAGGAGCTGGCGGAGGAGCAGGAGGAGGAGGAGAAGGAGGAGGACGAGGCGGCGGAGGAGGAGGAGGAGGAGGAGGAGGAGGAGGAGGAGGTCTGGGGCACCTCCTGGCACGTCTTGAAGGCCTCCTGGGGCGGGTCGAGGCCCCCCGTCCCTCCGTGCGCTGTCGTGCCCCGGCCCCCCCTGGCCCGTCTTGGGGAGGCACCGGGGGCCTCTCGGTCCGTCGTGGCCGCGGCGCAGCCCGGGCAAGCGAAGATGCAACGCACGCCGTTCTTCCTGTGGGGGTCGAGCGAAGTGGCCTCCCCTCCCGAGGCCCACCGCGGGGGCCTCCCGGAAGAAGTCTGGGGGGGCATCTCGGGGGTCTCCCGGGCGTCTTGAAGTCATCTCGGGCCGTCTCGGAGCGCTCTTGTGGACCTCTCGAGGCTTCTTGGAGGCCTCTGGGCCGTCGGGAGTGAATCTTCAGCCGTGTCGGAGCGCTCTCAGGCGATCTCGGAGCTGTCTTAGGCGGGCTTCTTTAGGTGTGTCAGAGGGCTGCGGCAACGGCGCAAGAGTCTTGCTCCGAGGTACACGCCACCAGGGCCAAGCCACGGAGCATCGACGGCTGCCCTCTCCCCTCCTTGCCACGCATCTGGCGTCAAACCAACATGCAATGAAGGCAAGCAAAAACATCCGGGTCGCACCGACAGGGCCTCACATTCGATGACTTTGGCTTCTCATGGGCATTATTGAAGAGCTTCCGGGCCACCTCTGGCCGTCTTTGAGCCGTCTTAGAGTCTCTTGGGCGCATGCTGAAGATGCGGTATGTGGGGCGTCCTGGGCCATCTTGAAGTATCTTGGGGCCGGTTTGGGGGGCCTCTTGGGCTGTATTGGGCCCCTCTTGGGGCCGTTCTGTGGCCGTCTTGGGCCCATCTTGGGCCGTCTTGAGGTCCTCTTGGATCTCCTGGGCTGTCTTGCGGTCCTTCGAATACTCAAGCCATCTTGAACCACTTGGGGGCCCTCTTTGGGGCACTCTTAGGCCCGGGCCCTCTTGGGAGCTCACTTGGAGGGCACGGACCGTCGTTTGGGCACTTGGGTTTTTTGTGTTGTTCCCCCTTTTTTGCGGAATGTAACCGACATCGTTACCATCGGGTAACGGTCGCGATGCCTCTTTGCCACACATGCACGGCGCACATTCAATCCCCACTGCCAGAGCGGCACCGGTCCGCCCGACGCGCCAGTGAATCCAAAGCCCCTCGACGCTCCAGCCCAGTCGGGTCGAGGGCCTCGACCATAGCCGCGCTTAGATGGCCCACCAGCCGAACCAAGCGAGAGGAGGACCCAGGGGAAAAAAGACCGTCCTCCACCTCATCCTCGAACCGTCCTCCACCGCTACCTCTTGCCCACCCCCCAAACTCCGTGTGAAACCAATACCTGCCGCTACTGCTGACATTCAGCTAGCGATTGAAGCTCGGACCGCTAATGTACACCTGAGAGCCAGCCGCCGTACCACTGCAGACCGCAACAAGGCGAGTCGAAATTGTTTCATGCCTTCAGATCGGCAAACAAATCGAAAGGCTTATATCATCAAAGGCTCTCCAGAATGTCTCCTGCGAATTTTCCCTTGGACTGCGTGCAGGCTGCCAGCGCGCAGGCCAGACTCGATGTTGGACGACCGCGACGACGAAAACGACGACGACGACGACGACAGCCTCGACGACGATGACGGAGACGACTGCGACGACTTCGATGATGATGACGACGAACGACCACGATAACGGCGACGTCGACGACAAGCCTGTCTAAAGGATGATTCAGAACCGAACCGACCTGCCCGAACCGAACTGGGCCAAACCAATACGGTGCGAACCGGCCTCTGCCGCAACGCGAACCGAATCGAATCAAGCCCGTCGCTTCCGACTCTCAAACCGAACCAAGCCGAACGGCCTTCAAACGTGACCCTGAAACCTGGCCGAACCTCCGCCCCAAACTGGACTGAACCCGGCCGCGAATACGACGAGTGCGATGACGCGCACGACGAGTGCGACAACGAAGGCGACGCGCACGACGGGCAGGACGAGTCAGACAAGTACGACGAGCACCTCTGAATACGACGAGCGCGACCTGAGCCTCCCCGATGCCCTCCCTCGTCGGCGGTCCCCCTCGGGCGCCCCCCTTGTGTGCTACCCTCCTCCACCCTCCGTCCTCCCTCCTCCTTCCCCATCCCACTTCTGCGGTACGAGCGGACAATCTGCACGGTCTCCAGGATGCCTCAGGGCATGGCCCCGAGGACTCCCCAAGATCCTCCAAGACAACCCAAGACCCGTGACTCTCCAGGACCCAATGCCAGGATCCCCCAGGACCCGGCCCAGGACCCAGACCTAGGGGATTCTTGGGGCCACCCTGGGGCGCAAGACCCGAAGCCGTTTTGGAGAGCTGTCACGCCGGTTTGGGGGAGTCTTGGGGCCCCGTTGGGAATCTCTTGGGAAAGCCGCCTGGGGCATTTTCCAGCGATGTCAGAAGCCCTCTGAGGCCGCCCTGGGGCTGTTCTGTGCCGTGCTCGGGAGCTGTGGGCGTCCGTGGGCACGCCCTTGGGGGAGAGTCTGGGGGCCTCCCGCGGGCTCCCCTGGGGGCCTGCAGGAGGAGGAGGAGGAGGAGGAGGAGGAGGAGGAGGAGGAGGAGGAGGAGGAGGAGGAGGAGGAGTCTTCTTGGCCCGTTAGGGGTCCTCTTGTATTGTTTTCGGGCTTTCTGGGGGGGGCTTATCAGGTTTTGGTTTCGAAACGGTTTTGGCGGCGTCAGGGGTGTCTGCGGGCCTCCTTGGGGCTCCCCTGAGGGCCTGCAGGGGCCCTCATGGGCCGTCTTGGGCCTTCTTGGGGCCCTATTGGGCAGTCTGCGGGCTCTTTTGGGGGGTTTCTTGGGCTGTTTTGGTGCGGTCTTGGCGGGGTCTGGGGTCGTGGTGCACGTTGGGGCCGCCCACCACTTGCACGTACAGAAAAAGTTGTTTTGTCCAAGGGGATTGGGCGACTTCGGCATCCAGCAGCATTGTGGGAACCCTCTTTTTTTGACATGGAACATACTGCAGCAAGCAATGCCTGCAGTGCGAACGACAAAGGTCCCCCCTGCTCTTTGCGGGTGTACCCCATTGCCACCTCACTCTTCTGCAGAGCTGCGCGCCTCGCACCATGGAGACACAACTTGCAGCAGACAGTGTCTGTTCGAGCGGGATATGGTACACCCTACTATTTGAAATTGCATGCCGATCTGCCCTCACAGATCGCGCAGCAAAGTTACGCGCCAATCCGTTACAGCAAATGTCAATAATGAGAAGTTTCTCAACGCAACTGATCAGCAAGTGCCGTGGGCCTCCACGGAAGGTTCTCTAGAAAAAGTGACGCGCATCTTGTGCGCCGAATGCGTAGACCAGACTTTGCCACGCGGCGTGCGGGGGTTGGCGGGCGGGCGGCTTTTGAGCCACCGCATCGCCACGGACCGAACAGCAATATGCGATCAAGAGGCTCCGTTCTAGGAACACAAGTCGGACGACAAAACGTTCCTGACCACTCTCCGCGCCTCTTCCCCAGGGGCAGGGTGATGCGTGGGGGGGGGGCAGCACATGCTACTCAGGACGTGCAATGGCGAAGCCTTTTCCTAAAAATCGACGAATAATTGTGTCTGTGTGTTTTTCCCCTCCTGAACTTGGCCCCCACCCAACCCCGCTACTATCAAACCCTGTCCCCTGGTGCCAAGCCCCCATTGACGACCCCACGCGCTGCGCTGGCGGCAACACAGCTGATCGCCTGTCCTGCCGCAAGGGCGGCCCCCGCAAGATCGGGGAACGCTCGTGCAACAAACTGCTGCGTTCGGGACCGTCGAAGGTATCCCACGGAACGCCGATGCAAATGAGCATTTAACACTTCTGGGCATAATGTTCCACCACGCCAACCCAGGGGAGAACTGTTCACGAATGATGACGGTGATGCTGCCACTGCCTGCAAAGTATGTGGCCGCCCAACCAAATCCGCAGGGAAACGCGCGGGAAGGGGGCGAAGGACAGGGCTGGGCGCCAGAGGAGACAATTTGGGCAGGGAAGGGCCGACTCAGACATGAAACACTTCTTCCGACTTCGTGGCGACCGCCGTTGAGGCTGTGCAGGCTGTGCGGGAAGACTGATCGTCGCAAAACTCGCAATAGGACTGGCCTGGCATCAGCAGCAGCGCGCAGTCGCCACACTGGCCACAGGCCGTGTTTTGCTGACTCTGGTTGCACGGCCTGCGGCTGAGCTCATCCCGCACCTTGTCCAAGGACTGCAAAGCGCCGTGCACCCAGCAGCAGGAAGCTGCCGGCCTCGGCACGTTCCACTGCAGCATCAAGTACGCCAGCGAGAGGGTCTGCGTGCTCACTGGCGTGGCCTTGTACTCTCGGTAGACCAGCTGCTCCTGCGCACTCATGGGATTGTCGGGCGGAGCTGCTGAGGCACCACCCATGCCCTCTCCTGGCAGCGGCACCGCCTCCTCGGGCACCGAAGGCATCTTGGAAACCATTCCTGAGAAGAGCGAGCCGACGCTGGTGCCGCTGTCCTGCCTCAGCCCCCCCATGCCTTGGAAGTCTTTGAGCCCTCTGCCAGCCGCGGTGCCCCTGGTGGTCCGCGTAGATGTCTTTTCCCTGCTCTCGCTGCTGGGGGCTCTGGTGCCAAGGGCCTCCAGCACCGCCTTCGTCACCCCTGCCACAGCCTGGTTCAGCACGGCGGACAGCTCGTCGCTGATCCACTGCGCCGCGGGGCGCCTCGCCGGCCGTGGCTGGATGCACCGCTCCACGACTGGCCGGCACGCCCGCGCGAGCTCGTCGGCGGGCGCGGGCCACACCAGGCTGGGCGCCTGGCCGCGGCTCAGCGTTCCCACCACCTGGTCTTTGCTCTCGCCCTCAAAAGGCAGGCGCCCCGTCACGATGAAGTACGCGAGCAGCCCGAACGAGTAGCAATCGGCGGCCGCGTCCGGGGGGACCTTGTGGCGCGAGCACAACTCCGGCGCCATCCATCGCAGCGTGCCGCCCAAAGACTTGGCATTCACAGTGACGATCCGTGAGAGGCCAAAGTCGAGAACCTTGGCGCGATAAGACCTCCGCCCACTCCTGCCGCGCCGCTCCTCCACGAACACGTTTGAGTCCTTCAGGTCGCCGTGGACGACGACGGGCTGCCTCGAGTGCAGGTAGCGCAGCACGTTCAGGATATCGAAAACGATCGGGGAACGCTTGGAAGCGCTGCCGTCGGCATCTGGAGCGCCATGGCGCTCCCTCTCGGGCCGGCTGGAGCCCCGGAACAGGTCCCGGATGAAGGGCCTGAGGGGCGCGCCGTCCACGAACTCGAGCACCAGGCAGAGCCTCGTGAGGGCGGCGTCGAAGCACGCTCCGTAGAAGGATGCGATGTTGGGGTGGCGGATGCGGCGGAGGATCCTCAGCTCGTTGCAGAGCTCTGGCAGGCGTAATCTCATCTCGATGTCCTCCTTGGGCGCCTTCAGAGCCACCAGGTTTTTGTGGTACAGGCCTGCCACGACGATGCCAAAGCCTCCCTCACCGAGGACACGATCGGCCAGGATCTCCACCTCGCAACTGGCAATCAACCACTGCTCCCGCTCGCCGATGGCGCGGATCTCGTCCATCGATGCCCGCTCGGCGCCGCTCTCGAAGGCCGCCGCGCTGATGGTCGTTGGCGGCAGGGACACGGGGGCGGACCTCTCGGAGCCCAGGTCGTCCGCCCTCGGCGCCCTCGCCGCCTGGCCACGGTCCACCCGGGACAGCTCGAACTCTGCCTGGAAGCGCATCTGCTTTTCCTCGATCAGCCCTGCGAACATCGCGCGCTCCTGCATCTCGACGCTCCGCCTCCCCACGGCCGCGAGGACGGTGAGCACCAGGAGCCCCAGGATGTTGGCGGGCACCATGTCGTCGGTCGGGCTGCCAAGCAGCAGCGCGGGCACGGAGTAGGCCAGGACAGCGGCCACCTCCATGGGGACGAGGACGAACCAGCGTATGGGCATGAGCAGGTGCAAGGCGGTGACTACGCAATCGATATACAACACCACGTTGCCATCAGTGCCGCACAGGTTCATGAGCCACACGGCCTCCGGGTCGTCGTAGCCGAACACCCGCGACAGATAGTGCTTCGGAAGGAAAATCGCGAACAGCATCACGAAGCAGATGCACGACGACACGATGAGGGCCTCCAGCACTGGGGTGCTGACAATGTTGCGCTGAACCAGCAGCCTCCCAGCCCCGAGGGCGAGGATCATGGACCCGAGCATGCCCAAGAAGATCAGAATCCGCCATCTGCTGAGCTCCTTAGCCTCCGCCGTGAGGTTCTCGGAGTCGTCCCAGATGCGGTACACGAACAGGACCCACATGAGGCCCGCGATCGCAATGGCGTAGATCACCCGCACCGTGGCGCGGCACAGCTCTGCTGTGTGAGTGTTCGCGTAGCCCCGCTCCTTCTGCGGGTCCGCAAACCTCAGTGTGAGGCGGTCGGTGCCGTTGTCGAGCCTCGCCCACCTGCAGCACGGCCACTGTCTGCCGCAGCACGCCATCCCACCGAGTCCTTCATCAGGTGAGGCTGCCATGGACACCAGCCCGAGGCACAGGGGCGAAGCTCGAGCCTTGAGCCAAAATGGCTACGGTGTGGGAACCCTCTTGGGACGTTCGGGGGGCTTCGTAGGCTGTATGGCAAGGATCTGGACTGGTCCGGGAGCATGTGTGGATGGTTTGGATTCGGTTTGGAAACGGCCTGGGGCGGGCGTGTGTATGTATATCAATACATATAGATATTTATACCTATTGTACGTAAATGTGTATGTCGTATGTCTGTATGCATGTGTATATAATATATGTGTGTATATCTATATATATATATATATATATATAGATGCGGGGGGTCATGGTTCCAGCCTGCAACCCACATGCCTAATCTATAGTCTTCCTTTGCAGCGCGCGTTGTATCTGCTGCGTCTGGGACACGAACAACCGGCCCACCGCCGATGACCGCGAGGTCACTACCGCCGACGCAACCGATACCATTACCGCCGACGCAATCGATATGATCTGGCTCAGAACTGCCTGGATCATCCATCTTTTATACGGGCGCAAATGGCAAAGCGCCCTCCGCGCCCCATGAAGTGGCCCATCACCTCGCGCATGTCAGCAACCAAATCGCCAGCGTTTTCTGCGGTGTCGCCAACCAGCACACGGCCTCAGGGACGTGCCGTGACATTTCGCCAGGTGCGTCTCGCCCCATGGCCACGCAGTTCGGTGGCGGGCAACCCTCCCCGGCGCTTTCCCAACCGAGCTCAGCGTATCAACAACGTGCTCGGACGAACTGGCACAGGCTCCGCCGCCCCGGCATCTGACGCCAGTGCCGTGGGAATGACTCTGGCCTAGAAAATCTAGCTGAGGCTTGGAATTTGATGTTACTCCGTAGTACTCTCCACCACAAGGTCCATCAAAGGCGTTCCATATCCCAACGACTACATCGTGAAGACCCAGGGCACCATGTAAAATCTTACCATCTCCAAACACAACACTTCACCAGGACTGAATGCAAGCGTTTTTTTCTGCGAGCTGAACCTTGACGCACGAGAAACAATCGTCAATCTGAACGGCGGCTCGGGGGCAGGAAAGAACACATCTGCCATGTGAGGTTTCAAGACGCCCCTGCGGAGGGCCTGAACTTTTGGACTCAAGCGAACCCTAACTAGCAACGCGATCGTACACATATCTGGTGGTCTGGTGTGAGGCCCCTTGAACCTACCGATGAACAGCAGCACCGTGTCCGACATGTTCCTTCGGCCTTTCCAAAACCGAATCCAAAACGCGATTCGAATAAGTCGAAACAAGAACGCAACGTTGGCTCCAAAGCATCACTACAAACGTTTCTCTTCTGCGCAGCGCGTCCGCATCTATTGTTCTTGCCGCGCGCTGAGCCTGGGAGCCTGGAAACCCTCCCAGCAGCCTCTTGGCCAAACAATCGCTGCTCCTACACGCACCGCGTGGCCGATCCAGCCATGTCGAATGACGATGCTGCTCTGAAAGCCGCGACGCTGGGATCGGACGCTGCGCGCCGCCGCCTCGCACGCGGCAGGAATGCGCCGTCGCCTAGCGCAGCCCCAGGGGGGGAGGGCGCAAAGAGGCCCGACGTAGGGCCCACGCTGGGCGAAGGTGCGTCTCTGCCTCAAACCGGCCGTCATGCTGGCCCCACGCGGGAACGAACGGGCACGTCGGCACCCCGTCGGCTAGAGGCCATGGCTGTCCGACGCGTTGTGCCCGTGCCTTGCAATCATTACCCTGATGGATTGCTGCCCAAAGTTGGCGATCAGCCTCTGTTAACATATCGCACTTGCCCATCAAGGTCTGCTTGAAATCAGGAAACTCCTCTTTCCTCAGCGGGCGGTCAGGGGAATGTCATGATGCGCGACAGGACAGTTTCAAGTTCCTCAACAGAGCCTGACACGGCGGGGCCCTGCTCTGTTTGACAGTCTGAGCAAGTGGCTCTGACACTATTCGGGCCATCTGGAGAGGGCCATCGCCATCGTTGGCCTGGTGGCCCTCCTTCACCTGCGCACAGAATGCACTAATGCACGCGCAGTTGACATTCTTCGCAGACGCATCGGGCGCGAAATCTGCGCGAAACTGGCGACAGGAAGGCCTGGAAAATTCAACCGAATGTTCCGGCGAACCGGGCGCTCGCTGGACCTGCGCCCCCTGGCCCGCCGCGGCCCTCCGCGCAGGCAATGCCCTCGCAGGGGCAACCATAATCATAACGCACAGTGGGCAGGCAACCCCTCAGAATCAGCGAGGAAGCCCAATTCTTTCCGTCGCTGACACTGTCATCTGCAAGCTTTGGCAGACCCTGGGGAGTGCGTTCCACTCGCCCCTCGCAGCGATCGCGCGCCACAGCCCCCGCTGGGAGCGCGAAAGGCTCGGCCCACCGCCTCTGACCTAGACGGCGCGCGCCCCCGCCCCGATCTCACCCCCGCGCGTTGACGCCCCCATCCACTTGCTATAGGAAGGCACCAACTATACACCAACACCGATCCTGGCCAGGATCACCCTGTGCCCAGGATCGGTGTATACGCCCTCCTGCCTTGCGCAAGAAGGCATATGCACCGATCCTGGGCCCAGGGTGATCCTGGGCCAGGATCGGTGTTGGCGTATAGTTGGTGCCCTCCGATTGCTACCCCATCGCGCCATGGGCGCAGATTGCAGGAGCGCCCACCACCAAACACGCGGTCGCCGGCCTGCGCTCGCAAGCTGGGGGGCGCCAGCGAGCCGGCCCGTCGCGGAACGCGCGGCCCGGCGCGCGAAGGAGGCCCCGAGGTCACGTCGGGGGGGGGGGGGGGCGACGGGGGAGCGAAGATCGGCGGGGGGGGCAATCGAAGAGCGGCGCAACAACTTGACAAAAAACATCGCCACCAACTATCCAAATAAGGCAACGGCCCATCGGCGCACAGACTGCAGTCGCCAAGGCCGCCGCGACGAAAACGATATAAACGCATGGACGTCCTAACAGGGTCGCCAGCACCGAGCTGCACCAAGCGACTGAGCAGTGCACCCTGGCATCTCGCAACGGGCCTATCTTCTTCATCCGCTAAGCCTGCACTTGAAATGCGGCTCCTCGGTGCATCTTACATGCAGCGCTCGACTTTCTTCAGGAGACACATGATGGTCGAAAACTTCCACATTGAAAGGTCGCTTCGAAAACAGCCGCTGATCACCGCCACCTTGACCTTGCCATTCGCAATTCAATCGTGCTGGTCGGCAGCAGCGAGTTTGCTTCTACCCCCGCCCCCCCGCAGGTTTCCAGCGTGTCATCGTGTTTTTTCATGGTTTAAAACGAAATGCCAGCAGCAACAAAGCCCGCGCACAGATTGCGCAAGACGTTTTACTCAGTAGGTCCTTCGCCCAGCCTGTAGCGCCGTCGTTCCAAGCTTTGTGCGCAAGGTGGCTTATGAGCGGAAGGGCAAGGGCAATGTTGCCAAATGATTCAGTATGCTATGAGCAAGATGGCCCGCCCACTGCGCCGCCGGCCGCGTGCTCATCATAACCCTCTGCGACGCAGCGCCAATGGGTCAACTCATCCTGCCTGAGATCGTCGGCCAGCGCGCTGCGCGGCATTGACATGGAAGAATGCCGCCCCTGGTAGACCCCCGTTAGGCTTGCGCAGCATGTCTAGGAGGATCTCAGACGACAATCTAAATTCAGGCGGGCGACACTCGCTCTTCGCCAGGAAACATGCTTGATAACTTTCACCATGTTTCGTTTCAATGAGTCCAGGTTCCTCCAATGCCGAGAGAGCGCCGTGGGCACATAGGCCCTGCTTGCTATATGGCACGACAATTTCGGGGCTGGCTTCGCCGGGTGGAACCCGCGCAGGCTACGCGGCTCTGCGAAAAGTAAGATATTGAGAGGCATGCCTTCGCCGCCCCGCAAACAAATGGCCTTCCAAATTGATGGGGTTCGGCCGACAGTGAGACCCGAAGACAGAAATCTACACCGTGCGACATGCGCCACACGTCGTCCAAGTTATCCGACTTGCATGGGGCCTTCCTGAGCAGGCCCTCTAACAGACAGTCGGCCGCCAGAGCTTCCAGCGCCAGTACATTGCAGTAATTGGCCATTGCTAGGAGGTGTCGCCGCCGTGCGCATCGACCACTGCCCAAGACTGCACCGCGACCTCGACGCCAACTGCTCCAGATGTCTGACATTCGCCTGGCTGCACAGGCGCAGCGGGAAGTCGGGCGCGCAGTCTCGCCTCGCCCCATTGGCAGCTCAAGATACACGTCTCCGCGCCGGCGTCGCAGGATGCGCCGCTTGATGATGAAGGTCGCCGCGGGGGAACTTCGCCACTGCTGTCGCCCTGCAAGTAGCGTCCGCGCTAGCGAACGCGCGCGCATTGATTCTGCTTCGCGGCAACTAGCGGGTTGCATGTTTGGCAAATGCGACCCCTGGTCGCCGACGTTTCCTCAGGCTGACACCACGCCCGTGATCTGTGCCACTGCTGGAAATGCAGCCGCAACCTCTGCAATCCGATATGCCGCCCTGTGAAAGCTCGCCCAATGCCCGGTGTGGCTTCGTCGTCAACATGCGGCACGTCTCTCTCCCCATCGCGCGTTTCATCAAGTCCAGACTTGGTTGTCGATGTCTGTCCTGCTACGAGCGCGAACTCATATTTGCGACCGTCGTCCCCTGAACGCCGTCGGGCTCATCCGCCGGCGACGGGGCGGTCGGCGGGCCCGTTCGCGCGCGCGCCGCGACTACGTCGGACGCGGCTGCGGGCCCTTTCCTCGACGGGCGATGCTGGCCTGCGTTGGTCGCCAATTGCTGCAGGTGCGCCGCGCCGTCGTCTGCCGCGCCTCCCAGGAGACAGGCAGGAAGAAGAGAAAGCCAAACATGGCGTACATGTCTGACCCAGGTGGTCACGGATGATACGGACTGGGACGCGGCAGCGCAAAGTCGGCGCGATTCGAGTCAGAGCGCGTTCATCTTCATGTCTGGCGCCGTGCAACTTGCACCCCAAAGCTGCGCAACTGAGAGGCCCCGCGCTCGCGCAATCCACGGGGCCCTCAAC